CGGGGTCCCGCTTGGGGCGGTGCATCGGGCGCGCAGCTCCGGAGCGGTAGCAGTCGGTCAGTTACGCCTATCGGTAGGGGCAGCGCTGGAAAGGTGTTGAGCACCGCACGTCGCGGGGAGCCCCGTGCAGCCGGGACAGACCCCGGTGCGGGGCTAAGCCCGTTACCGGGATCGGCCCGGTCACCCTGCCAGGGGCAGCAGCTCCCATCCGGCCGGGTTAGCCTCACTGGCATCGATGTTGGAAGTGAAGTGCTGTGAAACTGACCCTGGGGAAGGGAGAGGGGAGTTTTTGCATAACACCTTTCAAACCAGTCTCTCCTGTGCCTCACGCAAGCGTTTGAGGATGCGGTGCTGTTTTTGTAGGACATTTGCCCTAATGCTCTTGGCTAAAATACTCATTCAGATTGCTTAGTAAGCCGAAAAAATGTCTGGCTCCTTTCTTTGCCCAAAAGCTGGCTGTATGCCAGGGATGCTGTGTGTCACCTTTGGCATAGTATCAGATCAAGACATGGGAAAAAGTACATGTATACCTTTAGGACCTATAAGGCATAGCTGGCCTATGCATTTGTAATTCTAAATGTACTGGGTGGATCTTTCATAATAAGGCAGGATTTTATATTTAAGTCATAATAAATGACTGCAGCCAGACAGTAGCCTGCTTCTTGGCCAACAAGTGATGCTCACTTCAGTGTTGCTTTGCTGGAAGAGGTGTCAGGTGGCAATGGGAGGAAGAGAAGAGTTTGTGAACGTAAGCAAGCAGCAGGGGTAGCGTGTCTCATGTTAACCAGCCTCTCCCCAAACTGGATGCTCTTGTGGTAAAGGAGCCGTCTGCACGTCTCCTGCGGAGATGCCAGTTGTTGAGATGAAGTGCTCCTCCCTGATTTCAAGTGGGTTTCTCTGCCCTGACAGGTGAATCCAGGGCCTTTGCTGCCCTTTGGAAGGGGAGAGCAGGCTGGCTGCCGTGTGCTGTGCGCGCTGTCACCGAAAGGTGTGGAAAGGCAGTCTTCGTGAAGAGCAGTCGGCGTGCCTTAATGTAAGGAGTTGGTTGTCACCTTAAAGCCCTTCACCTTGGATGGACAGACTAGTCTGGTTCTTTCTCTTTCATGCCTCTAAGGCCTCCCCAGGGAAGCAGAGCTCCTGCTGACTCAGTAATGCAACAAAAAAGGGCTCTGTAATTGCTGGAGTGACGGAGAGAGTAGCGCTCCATAGATGCCTCTTGTTGTCCCTACCTCTTTTCTTCTGCATGTTAGGATATGTTGTTGTGTTTTAACCATGTGTACCAAAAAAAATCTTGGCTGTCCTGTAGTGGGTTTCAACAGATAGTGACTTGACAGCTTCTTTCATTTCAGAGTGTTTAAAAACATGGGTTTCACTAGGTACTGTCAAGACTAATCTACAGTTTCCAGCTGCTCTGGGTTAGTCTGTTGTGACTGCCTTTGGGCGTTGATGGAATAGAAGATGATGTGTGATATATCTTAAATATAGGGTGAAGATGTAGAAGTGTTTCTACCCAAGGTATTTTTAATGAGTCTGTGAACCCAAGGCTTTTTAATGAGTCTGTGAATCCCTTTAGGTTCCACTTAAGCTAGGTCAATGGCTGCTTCATATATGTTTTAGGTATCTGTGGAGTTGTGGATTATTTTGTTTGTCTGTTTCTTTGTAAACTGTGCAGTTGAGTAAAATGGGACTTAGACTCAGTTCATCTTGTGCTACAGAATAGCTTGTATTCAGTGTAGCGCGTCTTGCTGGTTAGGCCCCACTGAATGATCTATAAAACCTAATACAACTGATGCTATGCAGGCTATCTTGTGTAGCATCTAAGAGCATGTGTTTAGCACCCTGAAGTATTTGTGTAAAGTACTTTAGTATTTGCTGACTTTACTGTTTCTCAGATTGCCTGAGGCAAAGTGGTGGGCATCTCTGGAGAGCAGAAGCAGACTACAGCCTTGTGAGACTGTTCTGTGCGGGTCACGTCCGGGGTACATCTGCACTCCCTTTCCTGAGAAACGCCTGTCCCTATGCCGCATGTCAGAAGATAGGTATCTTTTTTTTCTCATCTCTCTTTCCTAATGTTGATCCATAGCTCTAGTCCTTTATTGGAGGTTTGGCAGTCGGCCAGCCAAAGGCAGCTCCTGCCTTCCCCAATATCTAATTTGGGGCTGACTGCCTGTCTCCCAGTAAATCAGTGTCACTGTATTGATCCAGCCATAAAGCGCTACTAGGCAGCCTTTCTCCTCTCCTCCCATCTCGCGGAGCCTGTTGGCAGCAGAAGCGCCAGCAGAAATGAGGTGTTTTCTGGGAGTGGTGCTGGGCGTCAGGGACATCTACATTTGCTAGGCTGGTTGCCCCCCTGGTTGGGAAGCCCTTGCAAGTTTCTCCTGCTTCCCCTGTTTTCAGGGGTGAAGCAGGTAGAGAGCCCTCCTAGGCACCTTGGGAATATCAGCTGGCCTGGAGACAGGAATGGCATGGCCTGAGGCCATGCGTGGGACGCGATACCATACATTCTCATTCTGGGTTCTTTTCGTTCACAGCTGTGAGCTCTGAACACCAAATGCCTGTTGAATGAAGGTGAGTTGAAAAACCTGGCATGCATAGAAATTGATATGGTTCTAGCTGGAGCTGACTGAATTCAATATCAAATACTTGAATCATTCATTATGTACAACTTCTTGATGCAGGGAACCCAACTGGTTTTAGAAGAAGTCAGATTTGGTTATGACTCTACCTGCTACTGCAGTATTTGCCTCACCATGGCACCTTCTGCACCTTTGCAGGCTGGCTACTTGAACGTGGCAGACTTCTGGGTCTTCTCATCCCATGCTTCTCCCTGTAAGTGATAAGGCTACGTTAATCTGTATTCCCTGTGATCTCAGAGCTGGACTGTTTGGGATCTGAAAATGGGTAATTGTTACTATATTAATTTTTCAACTCAAAATTCATGCAGGGTAGTCTGTATCATCAGAGGTTTTTTGTTAAATGCCATTCAGATGCCCTCATAATAAGTGAAACTGTTTGACTTTCTAGATAGCCCTTTGGCATATGGGCTTACAAAATAACTTGTTTCAGAAGAGCAGACCCTTGAAGTTCAAGTGCCACAATTTTCCTCGATCTCCTCTTTTTTTCCTTTCCTTTTTTTTTTTTTTTAGACTAGTTTTTGTTAGGCATGCCACAAAACTGCAGATGCTGAGCATTCTTGTGATAGCTGCTGTGTGAATATTTTGCTTTGTTCGTGTTTTGAGTTCTCCCTGTGAATTAGGCTGCCTTTTGTTTTCCCTTGGCAGTTAGTATGCTAGAGCTCTTGTTAGCCTATATGGAGCTCCTTATTTTAATGAGACCAGCTTCTCTACTGGCTGTTCTCCTGTTGTTTTATTTATTTTTTTAATCAATGAAGCCTCTTACTGCAACTCTTTTGGGACAATAGCTTTCTTATGCTAAAGGAAAATGTATTCCCTTGGACAAAGCTGTGGGAAGCATAACATGCCCATTAGTAATGCTTGGTATATACACTGCCCTTCCCTTGTTCATTCATGGAAGGAAAAATGACATCAAGGAGA